ATTGACAGGTAAACTTTCAGCCAATGACGAATATCATCCATTATACCCCAAAGCAGATACATTACAAAGTAAATATGGAACTTAAATACTTCTGCATATTTTTCTTTCTTAATATGTATCTAATATTTTATTCCCCAAATTATCATTAATATTCATATTAAACTGTAGTTTATGACAATATTTTATACTCAATAATTAGTTCTTACATATTTCAGTTCAACTGTTTTTGTTACCAATATAGCATATAAAGTGAAAATGCCATTTTTAATTTTTTTAAATAATACTAAGGACAGATTTGTATGATAGTAAACCATTCCAACTCCTTTCTGTGAGTGACAGACTGTTACCTTACGTAAAGTAGCTCTTTAAAGTATGGAAATGGCTCTTCTATAGTTAAGCATGATGTGCAAATGCAGAGTAGACAGCATTTTTGTTAAAACTAAACAGAATTGGAAAACAAATGAATATCATTTCAAATGCTGGTTAATATCAACCAGAAATGACAGCTGCTTTGCATAACACATCCTACTAAAATACAGAAGAGTCATCAGCTGTGATTAAGAAGCCACTTCAGACCAGGACAAGTTCCAGGCAAAGCAATGTTAAGCTTTCAGGCAAAATTCCAGGCAAAGCAATTGCCAAATGTTGGATTAATGTATGTGATTCCTCATTTAAATCTAACCAAACGCTACTGGAAAATGCTGTAAAGAAGTTCTTCTTGGCAAATTGAGAGAGCAAATTTCAAATTGGTCCTAAATCTAAATGAAACATGCTTGAAGATTATAGTTGATTTCCTAAGTGAAAAAAAAATCTTGAAATGATATAAAACAACTTGCTAGACACAGAAGCATGTTTCTGGATTAGATATTAACGTTTGTGAAGTAACTGTAGAAAAATTGAAGAATAATCCAAATTCTAACAAATCAAAATGACTGAACAAACTGCAAAATACATGAACACTGACTGACTGTTTTGGGGATAATTTCATATAGTCCAAGCAGAAGACTGTCCGCTGTCATATCTTTTCTTCTGTTTGGATTTTAAATGATAGAAGAATAATATTAAAGCCTTGATAGATCAGATGCTGTATCTTAGATTCTTCATCAAGTACAGCATATACTAATATATGGTGAGGTACTCAGCAAGGAGACAAATAGGAAAAGTGAAATAAAATTTTTAAGAACTCTTTTTATTAGCATATTTTCAAGTGGTTGGTGACCGTTCATAACATTTTTCAATCTGTATGCATGGATCCATATTAGATTGTATATGTGATTTGACACTATCACATTTTTTTTAATTAAATGGCTTGTATCTTTAAAAAATGAGAGTAAATACTTGCTTGATAAACTGGGGATAAACTTAGATTCGAGGGGCAAAATAGGATTTGGTATATATAATCCTGTTAGAGACAGGATTTGGTGTAATAGTTAAGGTACTGGGCTAGAAACTGGGAGACCGTGAGTTCTAGTCCTGCCTTAGGCATGAAAACCAGCTGGGTGACCTAGGGTAAGTCATACCCTCTCAGCCCTAGGAAGCAGGCAATGGCAAACCACTTCCAAAATCTTGCCAAGAAAACTGCAGAGACTGATCCAGGCAGTTGCCAGGAGTCAACAATGACTTGATGGCACCCTCTCCAAAAAAGTCCCGTTAGGAATACTTTAAATAAAATATATCTTTTCCCAAGATTGCACATCAGCTGTGGATGACAATCATGAAAGTCCAGAAAAATTTTGCAACTGCTTTAAGATATTCCAGACATTTGTGTACATCCAAATGACATTTGCCCTTCAAATCCAGTTTTCTGCACAGTACTACATAGTGTACTTGTAAAAGTGTTGGACTTTGATACCTTAACCTCTATACCACATAACTGGATTTTGACAAGGGCACCAAGACCAGTGGCTGGTCTATACATATTATTCAGGATTGAGTGAAATCTACATCCCATCTGTGAACCCACATATATTTCTACATACAATCAGTACAGCTATTAATAAGGTTTAATATAATCAAAATTAAACCAACACTAAAGCGCTGTCTCAAGTAACAAAACCATATCATAGTATCCTTCTCGCAAAAGAAAGGAAAGAGATTTTAAAAAGGCATGACTTTCATCATCATCATAAAACGTGATAATTTGTGGAAATATTGTTGACCATATTCATATCTTCTCTTTATGAAAACAGCTATAGTCATCTTTTTAAAGATTGAACTATGATGGTCAAGAACAAAATTCAGTGAACATTTCAATATAAGCCATTTAGAGCTGACTAATGTAAAGTAATAGATATTATTAATTAATGTTCAATAGAGCAGTATGCCTCCAGAAAGTTTTGTCTTCCCTGTAACAGTCCAGTCTCTAGTCCCAGGAATAGGAAACTCTATATTTGAGATTGTTCTTGCATTTCCAGAATTTTGTCTTCTAGAACAGAAAGTGGTTTGTGATTTCTAGATGAACCACCCCTGGAATGCTTAGAACACTCCATTCCGGTGAAAAATAGAACTTTCCAGGAACAAACTATTCTGCTTTGCTTATCTTTAGGTCCCAGAATAACTAAATTAAGTGGTCTTATTTTGTAATTTAAGAATCAGTTTTAAAAAAAAATTGACCAAGTGCTCTACTTTTTGGAAACTATATCTAAAGCCATGGCTATCTAATTAACTGCTTTTTGCACCCAACAATGTTTTAAAATAGGCAAGAACTCAATACAAAATTTACCTAAAAGTGTCTGGAGCTACCCTATTATTAAAATGCACTTTGAAAAAGTAATTAGAAAAATATTTTAAAAATCTCATCCAGCAACTATGTTTAAGGGTGAAAACTATTTCGTCTATCTGCAAACTGTATATACAGAACAATTTAACATTCATCCAGTTATCCTTGTTACATCACAGGTGAGCGGGATCATACTTATTTACCAACCTAGAACTCTTTACATGGAATCTCCAGTTAGATCCTAAAATAAAAGCTAAAAAGACCCCTAAGGTATTTTTAATGTGTTCTGGTAGTAGGAAACAGCCAAATTTCTCCAAAATATAAAATGGTAATGACCACAAATAACACTAGCCAAGATTTTTAACATGGTTTGAACAAGCGATAATAGCATAATCCATAAATAAACTATAATGAATGGATCCTCATAATATGTGATAACAAAAAAGCAAGCAAACCACATTATACCTTAGAGTAATGTCTGAATTAAGCAATGTAGGCCAGTGCACATTAGAATGGATCCATGGCTTATGTTGAAACAACTTGTCATGTAAATTTAATATATAACCTAAATACAATGTCCATCTGAAAAGATTTGAAGCTACTGAACTACTAGTAAGAACATACTTGTCTAGCAAAACTTAGCAGTGGGAGACAATATATTCATGACACATGATGCAAGAAAAATGCACCATAGATAATGAGATAAGCCATGACCTATGTAAACCACAAGATGTACATAATACTTTGTCCCTAAATCACAAAACATTTCTTCGGTTAAAATGTCATGGGTAAAAGCTTATCCTTCTCCACATGGATTTCTAATAACAGTACATCTATTCTAGAAGCTCTGATTCTATATTCAAGAGATACTTTTGAGAAGCCTAGATAGTTATCAATTGAACAAATTTTTTCTAAGGCTTCTTCTATGTGTTGGACAGACAATTATTTGCAGAGGAAACAAATTTATATCCTAAAAGACTTACATCTACTAGATGTTTGGTTTGGTATATTTAACATAATGCGAGCTCACATTTGTCAATCACTATAGTACCAGATATGTTTTAAGCAGATTCTTGTTTCCAAGTCTTTAAAGAGTGCATCCCATGAATATAATACTGTCAGGGAGATCCTACTGATGAGATTTACTGCCTGATAAAGGCTTTAGGATTATAACCTACTCAGTGACAATCTCTTCATCACAGCATTTATCCAGAAACATATTTTCTTCCAAAGACCATATATCTACATCTACATATGTACGTTCTGGCTACATATCCATCCTTGTTACTTCCCCATTTCCAGCCCCAAACACTCAGTTTATTGCATCAAGAGGGAAATAAACTATTATTTAAAAGGGAAATCATTAACATGGTACCTTTTAAAACATGTTCTCTTTCTACCAACATTCTTATTGGAGAAAAAAAAAAGTCTAATAACTTAAAGTACCAATCTCTCTGTTGTGCCTATCACTGTTGAATCCTAGACTGCACTGTAACAGACTTTTGATATCTAACATGTTTACACCAGCCATTAAAAAAAAAAAGCAGCTGCATCACTTCTGGTTGAAGTCTAAACTCAACTCTTGACAATCAATCTGAGCAACTGCCTTTCAATTATTTGTCCTTCTCTTTCATTCTCACAACCCAAATTTTAGATAATTTTGCTAGCTTCAGAAGCAAAGCACAAGGAGTTGAACAGTCTTCCCCCTAAAACTGGTAAAATTAATGTGCCAGTACAACATAAAGACTGTAGGCATTAACAAAATCTCGGAACAAGTATATGCATCCCTTCCCATAAGCCATAGCTATTCCTATCCACAGCATCCCGTGCCAATTTCCCTTTTTGCCCTGTAACTCACACCGACTAATCCAGGACCTACATCCCCAATGCAACTTGCCAGCCAGGCCTTACTGAGTCCTCCCTTGTACCTCCACCTCCCAATCACCGCTTTTCTTGATTCTGTTAGCTGAGCTTCTGCAAGCTTCCCGGCCGCGCCAACCAGCACTAGCAGGGGCGCTAGCAACTCCACATCCCAGAATTGGCGGGGATTCGTAAAATCCGTCACTGCAGGCCGCACTCCATCCCCCAATGCATCCTGCACCGCGCCCCCCAATCTTGGCCTCAGGGCCCACTCAGGGCCTCAGAGCCCCACCCAGCAGGCCCCTCCCATCTTTGCCACTCAGACATTCACCAGTTTATAAACCCCCACACCCCCGCCCCCAGGACGGCCCCGGTCACCCCCATCCCTCAGCACCACGAGTCCCCAACAGCAACCACTCACCTTCGCGCCCTCTGACCCTCGAACTCAGTATAAACGACAGTAGTATCAACCAACCACAACTGCGGTTCCCGCCCTAGGGGGCGGACTTCTTGGCTGTGGACATGCGCGCAATAATATTACCGCGCGCCTCTTGCTTCTCTGGCATTGTGGGATATGTAGTTTTGAATCCTATCGGAGGGAGGCGGGGATGGATTCCGTAGGTAGCAGATTGGAATCCTCCGTTCTCTGATGAGTTCAGGAAGGAAGCAGCTTGGACTAGAGTTATCGCACAAAAACTGCCTTAACATCATGACTTTATGTCATCATTCATAGTCAAATTTGGCTTTAAATTGACAACATTTTGCTTTTAATTTTGATGCAACGTATTTTCGTTCATAAAGTTGCTAGTAGTGTGAAATCCTGTTCCCTGCAGTTTGCCAGAAATATATATATTCAATAGACCTATATATATATTCAATAGATCTTAAGCCTTTTCAAGAAATCTCTATATTTACCCTGTATCTCTCATTCCGTTCCCTGTCATTCACAAATACCTGTTTCATGATAAAATGTCTCATTGAAGTCAGTTGAAGATGGCAGATTATTCACATGACATATTTTAATGGGTTCCACCTCCCTCTTTCACTAACTCCTGTGCACCTTCCAATCTGCTTTGGAAGTCTGGGAGATATTCACAATTATATTTGGAGCACACAGGGAAGAAGTAGGAGGAGCAAAAATAACTCTCACTGTTAACACACAGAATACTGGATATATTATTATTATATTTTTATCCTGCCTTTTTTATATATATAACTCAAGGCAGCAAACATACCTAGTACTCCTGCCTCCTATTTTCCCTCAACAGCAACTCTGTGAGGTGGGTTGGGCTGAGAAAGAGTGACTGGTCCAAAGACACCCAGCTAGCTTTCACACCTAATACAGGTCTCCTGGTTTCTAGGCCAGCACTTTAGCCACTACACCAAACTGGCTCTCACAGTGAATGTAGCCTATAATATTTACATGCATTATTATTTTAATATAAAATATTTGTAATTAACATTTGTAATAAGCATCAGGCAAGGTGAGATAGAATGCAAGTCAAGTACTAGATTTAAACTGCAGCCAAGTCTTTTTTCACAGTCTCTTACTTTAGCTACATGATGTCTGACCTAAGGTTAAATCCAAGTCTTTTAGTGCTATTTGCTCTCAAATATTAATATTCTGTTCCATGTATTATAGGTGTTCCCTGTGAAGTCCATGTTTAGACAGCTCAACATGTTTTATTGACTGACTGACTGACTGACTGACTGACTGATTGATTGATTTAAATTGTATAGCCACCCACCTCATGGTTCACCAACAGGCATTTCTGAAACCAAGCGAAATTCATAATTGCGGAAGAAGACAGAAGTTCAAAGAAATAAAGCACAGTATTGCTTCATCAGGGATGGAAAAAGAAAAGCACAGAACCACCCCTTTTGTCTTTAGCATAGAAGATGCTGCAGCATGGAGCATCACTGGAGGAAATGCAGCACAACACTAAAGCATAGAAGTGAACTTAGGCTCTGAAGTTTATTATTATAGGATTTATTCTAAAACATAATAGTTTAATGGGAGGCCTTCTTTAGATGGTAATAAATATTACTTCACTTACGTCAGTTAATATTACAAAGGACCTTCTGTTTACATTACAATGGATATTATTTTATTTACCTTGAAAGGGGTAAGGTATCCTGGTGCCTCTGGCTATCTTATCTTACCTGAGTGACACCCGTTAAGATTCTACCTTTCTCCCCTTTCGTTTGCTCCCAGAAATAGAAGAAACATTAGGTAATAACAATGCTCTTCTGGTGTATTTTTGGCAACACAAGAATTCATCTCCCTTCCCTTCTTTATACAGCTACATACATTCAAAGGAATAGTGAAGACACCAAATGGTGGTAAAGTTTGTTTGTTTATTAAATTTTCACCCCACCTTTATTTTAGGGTCAACTTAAGGCAACATACAGTACATACCTAACACTCCTGCCTCTATTTTTCCCAGAACAACAGCTCTGTGAGGTATGTTGGGCTGAGAAAGTATGACTAGCCCAAGGTCACTCAGGTGGCTTTTATGCCTAAGGGTGGATTAGAATTCATACTTTCCTGGTTTTTAGCCCAGCATCTTAGCCACTACACTAAACTGGCTCTCAAAGTCATTGTCACGGTGGGTGCCTTGTAATGCCAAGAATCTTAGATGACCACTATAGCGAAAACTAACACCCCTTAACATTTATAACATCCTGTTTATCAAGATGAACTATGCTAGTGCTAGGAGGACACCTCAGACTTGGCAATGTCCCTAGTTCTCAATCATTTGCTCCAGATCCAGCCCATCTTCAGAGAATGCTAGAAATGCACAAGCAACATATTGAAATTATAGGTGGAAACCATTGACTTACTCTCCTTGTACATACAATAGTTTGTTCATAAATTATTCAGAATATAAGAGGAGCAGAAGTAGGGACAAGATGGGAGGATGCTGCTGTCACTATCCCCATCCTTTCTGTTAAACAAGCCAGGTAAGAGGTGAAACAATGGGCTTTTAATCCATACATGCTTAATGTAGTTCATGCCTGAAGGAGGTCATATAATATGTTGTACTCTCTATGGTAGAACACAAGGTATGGAATCTTTATGTGATCCTTTCAACTCCCTCTTTCTTGGAAGTCCAGCAAGCTTTAAGTTAGTTAATGTTATGCTCCCTGAGAAGTTTCTTTCATAACTACTTGATTTTTTTGGTTTTTTATTTTATTTTATTTTAAAAATGTGTAAACTACATATTTTCCCATAGATTTCAAAATCTACAGTTAAGTAATTCTGTTATTCATTTAGTATGCACAAAATTGTGACCATGTGTTTGTGATCTTCAGATCTTTTTATCAGACAAAACGTTACATAAAGCAGGAAAGCAGAGAAGAGGAGGAAGAAAAAAAAGCTGCTATATTGAAGATATAAAGCATGTGTGATCAGAACACATAAGACAGAATTAAAGAAGAGTTGCAGATGTAAATGTATGAGACTTCACCAGGGGCAAAGGTTTATTACACAATAACTCAGTCCCATTCATGAAATTTTATCAGGAATTCAGACATCACTTACAATTTGTCATATACAAACATATCCTCCATGGTTTCCCTTACTTCTTTCTTTCATCTTTCCACAAAAAGTCTGGTAAGGAGAAAAAAAATGAAATGGCTTAACAATGCCCTTTATTCCCTAATAATAGAAGCTGTCCATCCAAAGCATCCTAGGTGTCATACATTTTTCAGATTATAGCACTGATGGGACAAACAACTGAATCCTTCAATGGATGACAGCTGATTCTCCCATTTTGAAGTATTTTAAAGTAGAAAATATGCATTGATGTAACTGAAGTTATAGAAATAAAATAGAGATAGATTATAAAAATTGTGCATATATAATAGTAATGGGACCAAAGTCAGTGCTTCTCCTGAGGTTATTAAACCTAGGCAGTCTCATGAGGGAAAAAAGTTAGTCTTTCAAATAGTCTGTCTCTTGTTGTAAGGGGTTTTATAGGTCATCACTAGCTGTTTGAATTGCCCCCAGAAACAGACCAATAACTAGTGGAGCTAGTTCAATGTGGGGGTCACACTCCATATAACCAGTCCCACTCACTGTTCAGTCTAAAACATTCTGCACAAGTCAAAGTTTCCAAACATTTTTAAAAGCAGTCCCATTTAAGACGTGTTATGGTAGTCCAAATGGGAAATAACAAGATACTTCTTAATGTAGCCAGATCCATATGAATCTTGAGCAAGCCCTGATGAGGTCACACACATCATGGCATCATCTGTGACGACACTTGTCTGTTTGAAGACATTAATGGTCAGATCTGAGAGCTTCACAGACAACTGTATTTGGCATGATAACTGTGCAAACATATTCCTGAGCTAGGCTAAACCCAGAAATGCACTCAAATGATAAACAGTGTAACTCCATTCAGCAGAGTTTATATCCCATTTCCTGATCTACCTTTTAACTGAGCAGGAGCAGTTTTGCCTCATCCAGATTAAGGTTTGGTTTAGCCTTATCAAGCAGACTCTGATTTAGAACTTGAGCAGTTTCCTGGTTTCGGATAGAAAAGAGAAATAAGCTGATGTTAACGAACCCCTGAATTCAGGACATTCAATATCATGAGGTTATACATAGGCACCATCTACCAGCTTTAGTACTATCCTTAAATCTTCAATAATTAACCTCATTGTACACTAATACTATCTTAAAGGACTAAAGAGATTGTTGTTAAACAGCTTACTGTAATTTAAATTATGTATAAAGTTTACAATAGAAAATAGTATTTGTTCAAAAGCTAATGTAATTTGGCAGGCTAAGGGCAAAGCACCTTACTTCAACAGACTTGGAACTAGTTCATACAGCAGAGAGTCAAAAAGAGATGAAATTGGTTACCCAAGTATTTACTAAACTCTTAGCAGCTTTACCTCTATAGCAGTGTTTCTCAACCTTAGCAACTTTAAGAAGTATGCGATTCAACTCCCAGAATTCCCCAACCAGCATGTTCCATTTTTTGATTCTGGGACAGAATTTCAACAGAAAAAAATATTTACTGCTACAAGCAGCTCAGTGTGGTCTTTCATATGTCTCCCATCCAAATGAAAAGCTATCCCATGCATAGTTAAACTGAGAGCTGTAAGACAGCGTTAGGCAGGAAGTGTTATATAACCATCTTGAAAACAGACTCTATGCCAGCACAGTAATTACTGCTAAGTACAAATATTGTGACAATGTCTCTTAATACCCATAAGGAATAATCTTGTATTATACTATGTTTTATTTAACAAGTTAATAATGTGCCAGCCCAAATCCTTCAGTTCCTAACATTGCCAGTGGGACTAATTAACCAACTTGGATATATATTTAGGGAAATATTAATATTCACAGTGAACATTTTGTATTTATGTTGCTTCTTGTAACCATGGCTCTCTAATGTTTGGTTTAAACATTACTTTACAGACACTCTTGACTATGTTTCTCAACTCAATTTTCCTGTG